TATGGAAGTCATAGAATCTGCTTCCATATCCCTCCATGTCATCCTCTCTGTAGTCCAGAAAAGATTGGATTTGGGAGAAAAGAGTGTTCCTATTTCCCCATTCTTTTTCTGTTGTTTATAAAATCCTTTGTGATGGAGAGAAGTGCATGACTGTGAATATCACAAGTGGTGCCCTGCTCTGGCCTTTCTCTTCTTCCTGGGGAACTGGTTGGATGCTTGGTTTTTGTTCTTCGGGGCCTCAGCTCAGGTCTGCCTCCTCATCTGGACCTCTCTGACTACGGAACTAACCTTCTCTGCACGCTCCCGCCCGTGTGACCTGAACCACTTAGGTCTTTATAGATCACTCATTTGTTTACCTTTTATTGCCTGTTGCTTCGCATATTTTAGTTATTTGCTGACTTCCTGTGATCCCAGCTATAAAATATGAGGGCTTTTGTTTTGAATCAGTGTTTTGCTCTTTTAATTCACTTTCACATTCTCAATATGTGAACAATGCCTAATACATACCATTAAAGTCCCATACAGTGTTGAAGAAAGTAAAATGGTAAGAAATTAGTACTCTACAGAGAGATCTGCTAAAGGTTTCACATACTGCCCTGTAACACTTTCACTGCCCTCTCCAGAGGCAGATTTTCCTCATTTTTCCTGTTGTAGCTCAAATTATGAATAGTTCTCACTCTCACTCTGTAAACCACATCACCTTCTTTCTTGTCTTGGTTGTTAAAGAGGGCAGTGCAGTAAGCTAGGATCTTCACTTCTCTCTTTCCCAATTGTCCACCAGCTCCTGGATGAAATGATTTAACAGTTTTGTACCTCAAGTTCTTCCTTTAAAAAAAAAAGGAGATGAAGCATAAAATAATTTCAATAACTATTGTAAGTATTAAGTGGAATAATCAATATGGAACACTTGGAAGAGCTTGGAACGCAGTAAATGCTAAATATCCATAATTATTTCCACTGCCACAGTTTCAACATTTAGTTTATATGTTACTTTTACTTTAAAATTTCAAGTGTGTTTGTTTTCTGTTTCTTTTGCCTGGCATAGTATCATGTCTAGCACAGTACTGTGCTTGCTTATTAAGCAATTCAACAAATAGTTCTCTGATTGAACTTGATAAAACTAAAGACAAAGACAAAAAAAAAGAAGAAACAAATCAGCAAGCTATTACCTAATTCAATAAATTTATTTTTCTTAAAATTCTAATGAAGAAAGATCAGTACTTAAAATTCTGTACTTTTTCCAATCATTTCATTTAGATATTTAGTTACTCCTAGAGACTGCTCACTCTCCAGTGAAAAGGCTTCAAACTTGACACAATCTTGGTAATTTTTCTATCCCCTAAAGAATATTTTATTGGTATTGGCTAGAAAACTGTGGCAGTATTTTCTTCTATCTGACTCTTTCTAAATAGTAATTCACAGATCCACTGGAGTCTTGCCCAAAAAACAGAAAATTAAATAAAAAATGTAAGCTAGGTAATATTAATTTCCATCTTATAGAGATGTAAGTTAATATGCAGATGAAGTAAATAAAAATAGCTTTTTTTAATAAAAAAGAGGGAGTAAGATCCACTAACATGCATTTATTGACTTAAACAAGGCGTGTGCTGTTGGCTCATTCTTTGTATCCTATAGGATTCCAACAAATTAAACTGCTCCAACTGGCACGTTAGTTGTATTGATGTAATGCTGCTTGTCCCTGGACAGCTGAGATCAGCAACTCTAGTTCCATTTTTCCTTTCCAAAGGAAGCCTCAAGAAACATTCTTTGGACAAGTGTAATATGTTTGCTACATTTCAAGATATTCAGTTCATATTTTCCTCTATAGTACTGTTCATTGTTCCCATGATTTCTGCGGATTTGATTTGCTTGCTTCCAGGTGTAAACTGTAGTAAAAAGAACAGTACTCAAAGTAGTCCAGAGGAGGTTCATGGATCCTATGTTAAAGGAAAAGACATTGATTTCGCCCAACATGTATATATTTTAGTCTATCCTTCAAACAGTATTCTATTCTCTCCCTTTCTTCCTCCATCCATTTCCTCCTCCCTTCCTGCTTCCTTTATTCCATTCTTGCTTCCTTCCTATCTCCTTTCCTCCTTCATCTCCTTCCTTCTTGTATTTTCAGTATGGGGGGATAGTGACAGCAGTAACTTCTGCTTATGTTCCTTCCTTTTTTTCAACTTGTAGAACTATTAATTTCAGTTGTTCCTAAGAGCAATTCTTTTACAGGATCACTCTATATCATGGACATAATCTCCTGCTCAATGATTTAAAGTCTAACTCATTATTTTAGTACCAGAAATATATTTGCAACATAAATATACCACAGTTGTCTACTTTTCCTTTGATGCATATCCAGGCCTTTTTCAGATATTTTCCACCAACAAAATGGATGTTAAAAATTTTATTCATGTCTTTACATGTGAATACTAGGGTTACCAAATGGCAATTCCAAACCATATGACCAATGAGTTAAAGGTTTAGCTATAGATATTTATATAGAACTACATATAGATTTTAGATATTAGTATTATCCAATATAGAGGTAATACAGGTGTTACCACAATGTTTATCTCATCCCTATTTTATTCTGTCAGCTTAGATTTTCTGATTGAAAATTTTCCTTATCATTAAAAACAGTAAAATATTATGTCCTTTTATACTCTGAAAATGTGAACTTATGAAATGAATTGTGCCCTACATCAAATTCCTTTCCGTTATTCAAATGTACGTTTGAAATTACAAATGGCCAAATAACAAATGACACTCTCAAATGATCATATTTGCAAACTCAGTTGTATTTGGTAACATCAGTGGAAGCAGCATATTTCAATTTAACCTACATGTAAAGACTCTTTTTTTTCATAATTTATAATAAGCTCTCAATATTTTACCTGACTTATTTCAAGTGCTGGTCAACTTACAGAGTCAGCAACATTTTTCCTGAATTAGTACTATAATTTAAAATATAAATTATGGGTATGCTCTTTTGAAATACAGGTAAGAGGTATTTTCTCTGAGTCAGTGGCTCACGGGCTGCTCTCAAGTAAAATTGACTTGTGAGGCTAAGTGTCCAAATAACACAAGGATACTTTTTAGTAACAGGAATACCTAAGGATCTGGCAAAGTCCAGTCCTTTATATTTTGATGATCGGACATTAATACATATCCTTTCATAATTCTCCTTCACTCTAAGCATAGTTGCAGATCACAGTCTGAGGTCCAGAGACAAGCAGTATGCTCAAGGGTCCACAGCAAAGAAATAGGGAAGCACACATTTTTACCCCATAATCTGAGTTTGAGGCTCACAGCACCAGAATATTCCTAGTTCGCAATTTTACTCAACTCATTGATTGCCATCCATTTTTATAGAAACCATTTTCCTCTCCTGTTTGTAAGTTAGATTTCAGTCTGAATGGCAGTCAGTGATACAGACCTGAAGGTGACATTCTGTTGGCTACAATAAGCCTGCGCCATTGCAATGGCATTGTGATTTAATGTCATCTGTGGCTGAAGGGGGAGGACAGAGATTGCATGTCCTGCTGCACTGGCCCCTCTTCTGAGGTTGGCATTTCTTCCACAAGCTTTGACGGTTGGTGGCAGGTCAACTTTTTCAGAGCAGCTTTCAGACTTAGATTTCTCCCCCTGGTAGTGAAGATGTTTCTGCCTCCACGTATTCAGCCTACTCAACAGAACCTAAATCATTGTTCTACCACCTTTTTGTCTCTTTAACCTGAGGCTCATTTGGGAAACTAATGCATTTTCTAAATCTGTAAAAGACACACTGGCATGTATCTCAAATGGCTCATGCTTAATAAACTGTGGAAAGGAAAGAAGAGGCAGTCTAGTAGCATTTTAATTTACATAACATAAAAATAGAGTTATTCTGAAGTGATCTGAGTGCTCATAATTCTAGAAAAATTCCAACCATGGTAATTTCAAACAAAAATCACATCCTAGAGACAGCTCCACTGTAGAGGGTTTCGTTCCCCCAGAACATGGTAGAGCAACTATAATTCCATAGTCCATGTATTTCATAAATTGATTAATACTGTTTTCTCCCTTGTCATAGCATTAGCTGTTTTGAACAGTATTGACATGAAGGAAAACACAAACTCACTCTTTAAAGATGGAAACAGAGGGAGGCCTCACCTGAATAGTTGGGGATGAGAGTAGAGGCTAGAGTGGGTGGAGGCTATGAATGGCATGAGAATCTTTTTTCCCAATTCTTCTATTGCCATTCAGGTCCTTAGGGGAAGGAAAGCAAGCATCAGGCAGGACCTTGCATGCTGAGGTCAAGAAAGAACCGCTACCTATTGGTACATAAACCAGCATGACACACAACTGGTTCCCCGAAAAACTGACCATTCATCTAGTTCTGAAGCCACCAAACCCAGACACCTGCAGCTCAGGCGATGCCAGAGAACCCTACACGCTTGGGATGGAAGAAAAGGAAGGGGCTGAAACCGCAAGCATGCAACGAGGGGCTTCTCTTTCTGGGGAAGCTGCCCAGAGCGTGCGACTCTGCAGACTGCTGACTTTCACCAAAAGGCATTTCTCCACCTGCGCGCTTGCAGAGGAACTTGTGCGCACCCACACAACCCAAATTCAAAAAGCAGTGTATATGGCAATCTCTTTGTCCCCAGGTCCTCCCTATTTGAGGGAGCACTTTGTGCAAAAACAGACAAGCACTTCCTTGCTTTGATCGTGTCTTACAAGTTTCCAAACCTGGCACTGGGTGACTCGTGGCTGCGCTCTTGGCTCCAGCCTTCTCAGGGTTGCCCTGGAACCCAAAGGTACCCTGTGGGTGCGCAATAGGAGCGCAGGCAGCTCCAGAGCTTTCCAAGCTCCCGGAGAGGACAAAGGGGACCGGAATTCCAAGAAAGAATCAGCGGGCAGCGGGTTGATGGGCTCCGGGGCTGCCCACGAGTGCTGTGGGGTGTAGGGGAGAACAATACCCTGGGCTCCCGTGCGCTTTCCCTTTCCCCGAGCACTCTCACCATTTGTAGCCTCTGCCGCGCTTGAACTTGAGGGTGAGCACAGTCTCCAGGAGAAGCAAAAGGTTGAGCAATGCAAGCAGCCAGTACCGGGGCTCCTTCTTCACCTCGGTCACTCTCCAGACCCCGACCACCGAGTGCAGCACGAACAGCAGCCTTGTAACAAGGGCATTGAGGAAGACCAGTCCCTCCATGCTGGCCCGTGCGCTCTGCCCGCAGACCCCTCTTCTAGCAACGTTAGCCCGCCCGAGGGCACAGACGTGACAGCGCGAGTCTGGCAGCTGCTGTGGTCCCTTCACAGCCGCGGGCGCACAAGGCTGGTGGAAAAGGAGAGTGCGGATCGCCCCTCCCCCAAACTTCCTGAGAACTCTTCAAAGAGGGGAGTCTCCAACTCCAGCTCTTCTACACTGCCGGGCTTTCCGGAGAATCTGAAACCGCTCAACCCCAGGCTCTTGGGCATTATTCTCAGACTCTGCCCATCCCCTTGTTAGTGCTGGGGGGCCAGTGTCCATCCTTGGCCTCTTCTCTGATCCTAGGGCACAGGAGTTGGAAAGAAGACGCAGATGGGCCAAAGGTCAAGGTGCTGCCGAACCAGGTCGGCATGGGGGAGCACCTCTGTAGCCTCTCTTCCCTACTTTTCCTGCAAAGCACTCCCTGGCAGTCACTCCCGCCGTTCAGAGGAACATGCTTTCCTGGGGTCGAAGATGGGATGCAGGAAAGCTCAAGAATCTGCAGTCCAAGCAGTTTTAGAAACACAGATACTTCCTCAGGCTGGGGAAAGTTTGGGCCTTCGGAAACCTCACTCAGGCCATTGGTCACCTTGGTAGATTTTACTCCTGGAGCCAGAATTGTTCAAGCAGAGATGTCTTTACTCCATCTCCCTACTCCACCATACCCCCACCACTCCTGCCCCTCCTCACCTCCTCACCTCCTCAGGTGGGTAGGCAAGCTAAAAGGGCATACAGAAATGTGAGAAGATACTATTTCATTTTTCTTTAAATGGACTCGAAGTTTTACTGAAGTAAGTGTATTTGAAAAGCTACTTTACAGATGGATGTTGCAACACAATGAGTTAGGCCTGGGCTTGAAATTCTAGGGTTCTAGTCCGCAGTTTGAATCCTGGCTTGTTTTCATCTAGTTTCTTATTCATGCGTCCTGGAGGCAGTGGATGATGGCTGCAGTATACACGACTCTGTCCACACCAGGCACCAGGACACTTCTGGAGAGCTCCAGGCTCCCAGCCCCCATTTGGCCCAGTTCTGGCCATTTGCAGGCATTTGTGTAGTGAATCAGTGGATGGAAGATCTCTCTTCTCTTGTTCATTCTTGATTTGCTTTGCAAAAGATGAAAATAAACATTTTTTCAAAGATTTATTTATTTTTATTTGAAAAGCAGAATTACAGGGAGGAAGCACAGAGAGAGACAGAGAGAGATTCTTCCATGCTCTGATTCACTTCCTAAATGGCTGCATTGGCCAGATGGTCAAGAGTTTCCTCCAGGTCTCCCATGGGTGTTCAGGGTCCCAGTCCATAAACAGGGAGCTGGCTGGGCAATGGAGCAGCTTGGATTGGAATTGGTACCCATATGGGGTGCTGACACTATCAGGTAGAGGATTGGCCTGTGGAGCCACGATGGGTGCCCTGAAAGTAATCATTTTTAAAACAAATGTAAAATGTGTATTGAGTAAGAAAACAAATTTTGTGTCACTTTAAAATGAATAGCCAGTAAAGTAGATAATTACAAAAATAATTAAAATAAAATGAATTTAGAGTATTGTTAAAACATACGAATTTAGAGTATTATTAATTAAATATGTACTGCTGACTCCTTCTTTTTTTTATAAAGGAGAGTAAAGAAAAAATAGTCCTTTTATTACCAAGCAAGACTGTTCTCTTGACCATTTTAGTAACATTGAAAGAATAGCACAAAGGGAATATCTTTCCTAATGTTGGATCTTTTCCAACATAAAATCATGTCATACCTTTCCTAAAATCAACATGAGAAAACTGAATTATGTGTACAATGTCTCCATTAAGTGAGAAGAATCATGTGGTTGGCAGAAGCTTAGAGTTCTCTGCAGTGCTGAGATTCTGAGAACTTATTTGTTTTTCCTGTGTATTTGTATTTTCTTCCAACATCTTGCAGGAAAACTAGTTGTGACTTCCTGGGGCTGTTTATTATGCTGCATTTCGGTGAAGACTGACAGCACAGGGATGACTCACTATTCAGGAAACTGGACAAGCAGAGCCCTGTAGATGAATGCAGTGAAGCTAGCAGGGTTCTGTGGAGGTCCAACTGCCTGCCTTGGTTGCTGTCTCTATCAATTAATGCTGTGCTTCTGATAACTCAGTTTCTTTATCAATAAGCCCGATAATAAACCCATTTATTCATAGGATCATTTGTGGGGATCCATACACTTAATTCTAATGAAACAGCTGATAAATAGCAAATATTCGATGGATATCAGCAATAATGGCCAGACTCAAGAATATTTATAGATTTACTGTTGATGATTCCAGACGAGTAAGACTAGAAGTGGACCAGGAGACTATGTCAGAAGCCTTCCTCTGGACACTACCAAATACATTTGGGGTTTAGGTTTCAGCCTTCTTAAAGGAGGAGACCAGTTTAATGGCTAACTACAGAGCATCTAATTAAATCAAAACATGTCGGGAGGACTTGGTCTTGAATGGGGGTGATTTTAGGTAATTCTCTCTCTCTCTCTCTCTCTCTCTCTCTCTCTCTCTTTCTCTCTTTCCCTCCCTCTCTTTCCATTCAAAGGAGTTTGTAAAACGTCTATGATTCAGTGTACTTCAAAATGTAATTTAGACAGGGAAATTTTTTTTCTGATATTGTCCAAACGTGTGACGCTTTAATGTGAGGTTTAGAAGGTCCCTGCACCCAGAAAACAAAACTAATATGGCAGAGGTTTAAGTATTATCTCTCTCCTTTTTTTAAACTTTCTTCTAAGCTCATTTATAAAAACTGGAGCTTGGACAAATATTTTGAGACCTCTGAATTAATAGTTCAATAATCTTTGAGAAAAATGAAAAATCTCACATAATTCTGGGGGGGGACATCTGATCATGGAAAAAGCATTGTTGGCCTCATGTGTGCGGTTTTTGTGGTATATGCTAAAGTGAAGCAATCTTGGCCTGCTGTTCCAGGGGGAGGCCAACCACTGGACTCAGTTTCCATTCCAACAACATAGTGAATATACTTCTCAGGCCCCTCTTTCCATTCAAGTTAACTTGATTGAAAAGAGAGTGAGAAAGGGATCTTCTCAGGCTAGCTGGAGTGAAAGAAGTAGTTATTGTAAGGAAATGCATCATCTGAAAATGGAGATGGAATCTCTTGGTATTAAATACTGGAGAGATATATAAGCCAGGGACTTAGGCAACTGGAACTGGAGGCATGGAGATCACAAGGTTGCAATTTGAAGGTGTTTGCACAGTGATTCTCTTGGCTTCCTGACTTCTGGTCTAATTTTTGCATACTAAGTTCAAATTCCTAAGAAAAGGAATCTAATTTTCTTCTACTCTTGGTGCCAGGCTAGATTTATAGGGTATGATATTATTTGGGTACAATCCAGTTAATCAGCCATCCTTTTACAAAGGTGAAGTTAGTATTGCTTTATTCACTTTTTTATTTTTGGTGTTTGTATCCTTATTCTTATCTAGTGCAAGATAGAACAATAGTGAGGAAGGACAGAAGAAGACATCTCTATTTACTATTTCACTCCCCAGATACCTACAACATCCAGGGTCAGGGTAGATCAAGGCCAGAAGCAAAGAGCTCTATCTTGGGCACCAGATAAGTGGCCAAAGTCCTACAACTTGAGCCAATATCTGCAGCCCTCATAGGCACATTAGCAGGGTGTTGGATTAAAGGCATAGATACTAAGACGCAAGTCAACACATTCATATGGGATGGGGGCTTCACAAAAACAGCTTAAGTCACTGCACAATTATACTGCAACCTTTCTGCATCTTTAACGTGAAATCTTGGGCAAAGCAGTTTGAGAAAGCAAGGAATGGAGCATATGAACACATTGATGCACCCAGTACCATCCAGCTATTCAATATGCTTACTTCATGTACTAACGGAAACACAGATTCCTCTGCCTGATACCATCTACCTCATTGCACTCACCTGTGGTCCCCCAACCTGAATGCAATACAAGGTCATTGATGCATCCATGACCAGCAAAGTCTCTTTTGTCTCAGAAATCAGTCTCATGGTGGTCTTGAGTTTTTTCAATTCATTCTTTAGCTCTAATATATTCTAATAAGACATTATTCATATATAAACTGTGTGTATGTACAAGATACGTAGTGTGACATGCAGAAAATGTATTGTATAGGCTTATAGGTCTATTCCCCAGAGTGACTATTCATAATTACCATCAAGGCCTTTTTGATTCAATCATTTATAGTGCTTCACTTCAGTTTGAAATTTCGGGAATCTAATACTCCTACAGTATCTTTTCGCCTTGTTAGTCTACATTAGTACTCAAATGTTATTAATCATATTTTTGTTTTCATTTTGATTGTGAAAATAAGAAAGGAAGGGGGAGCAAGTGGGAGGGAAGAGAAGAGAGAGAGATTCTATATATCAGTTCATGGTTCACTCCCACAAATGCCTGCAACAGCTTTGTCCAGGCTAGGCAAAGGTCAGGAGCAGTCTGGATCTCTCACCATGTGGGGCAGAGACCCAGGTGTGAAGTTGTCACCGCCCCCCAGGTGTGTTAGCAGGAAGATGGAATTAGAGGCAGAGCTGGGACTTGAACCCAAGCATCCCAATACAAGATGCAGGCATCTCGAGATGTTTTCCTCCTTATACCAAATACCCCTCCCCCCATATTAGCTATAACAGCATTGTTCTGTTCTCTGGTTTTAATTAATCCTACTGCATCTTGTCATTATGGCTACACATAGAAGTCTGTTGTTTTCCATGGCTATATACAAAATACTGAAGTTATGTACTTTCTAAAGAAAAAAAAAAAACTCTGTGTTTAGCTTACAGTTTTTGGAGTGAGAACTACATCAGAGGCTTCCCAGTGAGCACCTCCAGTGACCCAGTGGCTCCACTAATTCTGCAGACTGCACCACCTCTCCCCACCTTCATTCTAAGCAACAGGTTCCTCTCACATGATCCTTTTAGGACACATTTAAACACATCTAAACTACATGAA